ATGTTAGTTTAACACCTTCTGGTACACGAATAGGACCAAACATTTCGTCCCCAATGCCAGCCCATATCATTACACCTCCGCCTCCCTGCTCGCGTCTCATTCTTGTTAAACACTGTTCACCATGGATGACCAATCCTTTCGACCAACCACCAGGGCCATCTAGGGTTGCTCTTGCCTCGTCAGTGAACAATACACATTTCATGTCTGTCTTCACATAGCTTTTAGCCCAGTTCAACCGCAAATCTTTGTGCCTTTTCGTTAGTGGAGGCCTTGTTAGTGAACATCTTGTTAGCTCTTTAATAATAATATCTTTTTCTGGGTCAGTAAGGTCTTTGCTTCGTTCCATCGTTACAACAGAATGATCAAACTAATAAAGTGGACCAGCCTTTATATGAAAAACCTGCCTAATTTACGAATCACGTGACGTACGTGAATGTAAACATTGAGGCCATGTTTCCACTGCGATAATTCAATATTCCCAACTTCGTGCAGAGGAAAGTGCTTACTCGAGTAATTAAATTTGTGAACATATTTACATGATAACTAATATCGTGAGTCGCAGTGTATAGGAATTGTGTTTGCTTTCTCTTTAATAAAGAAACAAAGTAAAAATGCCGAGAAGAGGCATCGTGCACTTTTAGAAGTTATTTACCCATGCACGGACATTAATAAGAGGCATCGTGCACTCATGGTTCTTTCAGCTTATTGCAAGTGTACATATTTTTGGACATGGATTTCGGAATCTACTTCATTGTGTTTAAGTTGCAATAAACATGTCTTCTTTTGGCAAACATTGCCCTTCGTTTGGTTATGATTGTTGGCAGGGCCGTGGCTAGGGGGGTGGGGTGTGACACCCCCCTGAAACTAGTTGTCGGCAAATGAATGATTTTTTAACCCTCGCAGGGCCATTAGTTACTGTTTAGTTTTTTTGACATTGTATCCAAATTAAACCCAAGCCAACCTCATTCCAACCTACATTTAAAATTAGTATTTCCGGGGGGTTTGGCATTTTATTTGTGCCTAAAATCTATACAGACAGATCCTTGCTCTTAAAAAATAATTGAAACAAACTATAATAATTCATAAACACGTCAGGTAAATTTTGAACTCTCGGTGCTTTAGGCAAAGCGAAACTAAAAAAGCGATTATTAACATTAATTAAACCGGTATTAATATCACTCAGGCCTTCCAGCAAACACCATAACTGTGCTTCAGCCATTTTGTAAAATATATATTATGACTAATTGCGCTTTGTCTTATATTAAATGGGCTCTAACAACTGCCTAAAATAGACAAAACACTGCTCCAAGTTTTGACCTGGGGCCTTCGTTAGGAGAATTAACATGTTGACTCTCCTGAGAAAGGCCCTCCGGTTGAAACGTCGAGAAGTGTTTTCTCCATTTTAGGCAGTTGTTATACCACATTGGATGCTAAGTTATTTTGTCGACCCTGCCACGCTGCTCCCTGTTTGTATTATCTAATATTAAATATTAATAGTTCAACAAGGTAAATGTAACTTACCGAAAAAAACGAGAACTGAAGAAGAACGTGTCTTTCATTCCCGCTTGAAATAGTCCAATTGCAGTCTACGTTGTTGGGGTATAGATTTGGATAAAAAGGACTTTTAAGTGTGCCAGGAGCATACAGGTGATTTTCCCCGCATTCTGCAAGGAAAGAATGCTATGAACAAGAGGGATTTCGTTTTAGACCAATCAGCAAGTTTGTTTACACTTTGAGTAACATAATCAGACTGCATAAATTTTGATAAAAAGTACAATATAACAATTTACATGAATTATTCAAAATTTAGGCATTCCGATTACCTTTGACTGAAAAATGTAAAGAAATAAACCGATTTTTTTAAAATGAAATTTCTCCTTGTTAATGCTATCTGGAATTGCTATAAATTATTAGGATTATTTCGATAAAAATAAATTACTCTGGATTTAATGTTCCACCAACAATGCAAATATACGCTAGTTGTAACCTAGATAAAATATTCAGGTTTTCCAATTTAAAAGAGGTTATTTTACGATTAGTATTTAACATTTGTTTATATAATTATAATAGTCACAATAAGAAATACATATATTTGACGTTGTAAGGATTGAACAAAAGGTTGGAAAAAAAACACATGCAATAATAAAATTATTTCTCCAGATTAAAGTAATATCAATGTTAGATATGATGAAACATCCATTCCATTTTTAAGCGGAAACTTTGCGTACAACCTTATAATTATATCATATGCATTATAACAAATTTGTCTACGATTATAACAATTAGTAAAATTTTAACCTCGTTAATTTGTCAAGCATTTTCAGCCATTAGTCATTGTCAGAAGGTTATCAGGACCTTCGCTACTAAGCCTAATTGGAGGAGGGTACATATTGTGCAATCCATATAGTGTAAAAATAGTGTACATCGTGCAAAAAAACTATATAAAAAAAATCATTCGAGCGTGAAGCGAAGGTTGATATTCGCTCTCATTTTTTTTTAGTTGTGCATTTTTATCACTTGTTTTTTACCTTTTACAAAACATGTGCCTATTTTCTTTAATTCATACTCACTCTCCTGACAAATGCCCGTAGGTCAGAACGTCGACGTCGTTGAAAACACTCTTACCATTTCCATTATGATATAAATAAATCAACTCCGCTTACCACCGTTGAAATACCATGAAATGCATATTATAGGAACTATACCCTCCAATCGTAATTTTAGTTTCCGCCATGGAAAGGATCGCATAATGCAAGTTCTTGATATTTTAAGTCAATAAACGATGTAATATCGTTCTCGCCTCCTCGGCTTGAGCGTTACATCCTAATGTTACGGATATCCTTCACTTTGGTACGGAAAACGCGCTGGTTAAGGGATTGGGTTGAAGAAGAAAATATTTCGTGCGTGAAAGATGAGGACAGTACCATCAAGAGGGAATTTCATTACTTCAGTGCTAGAGCCTTAATTTCCCATCTTCTGCCCAAACTCATTTTAAATCTGTTGAAGTGACATGGTGTGCCTTCATATGCTACATAAATTATAAGTATATAATAACCGTATAATTATAATAAAGAAATCCGCAACTTACCTTCAGTATAATTAAAAACAAATTCGCTTCTCCGCCCACTACCGTCCGTGTGAAATGTGATGAAAACAATGGAGCCGGATGATTGCAGATTTCCTGGCAACTCATCTCCAACATATCTCCCCAGTATTCTTGCATCCGCCGAATCACCGTCATAAATGTACAAAAAATCATATCGACTTTCCAACTATTAAGTGAAGCAATATCAAGTAAGCCACACAATAAAACACAAAAACACAAAGTACAATACACTGTAAGAGATCCTAATTAGCATATAGCGTACTTTTGTGTATAGTGCTCTATAGAGAAAAATTGTTTGGACGACATCGGCATCTTTGCATGTTTGTGTCGTCGTGGTGAAGCAACCATTAAAGAAAGCACTCATGGCGAAAACTAGGAAATTTCTCTCGGAAAAAATGCGTGCAATTGCTGGGAGAAAATAACTCCTGCTTGTCTTCCATGGGGTTAATAAAAGGGAAAAATTTCAATAAAAGAAAGCTTACAAAATGTTTAGCAGCATACATGTAAAGATATGGGATATAATAGAAAAACGGGCGCTTTCTGCAGACATCTAACCATAAAACGAGACTATCTTTTGTCCAATCCCTAAGCTTTTTCGTGCTTCTTTGCTATATGCATTGCTGGTAAGATTCAATAACTGTACAGCACCATCTTAAGGATACGTTCTTTGCACGTCTTGGAGCTCGTTATCTTCACTATATAGAACAATACATTCCTTCCCTCCCCCTCCTTTATTGTTTTTTCATCCCTTTTATTATGTTTTATGTCTCATTAAAACAGTCTAGCTAATAATCTATATATTACAGAAACTGAATATTCCTACCGAGAAATGCGAGAAATGGAGGAGAATCAGTTTTCCGTTAGTGCTAGAAATTGTCCATTCGCAATCCATGTTGTTGGGGTATAAATTGGGATATCCAGGACTTTTAAGCGTACCAGGAGTATAAAGGTGAGAGTCGCCGCATGAAACTGGAACTAAATTAAACGTAAATACAATTTCTTTGAAGATGTAAAAATGAAACATGAAATTAAACTCCATGTTCCCGTCGTATACTTGGTGAATTTTAGACTTGCATATTTGATAACAAACAAAATAAAGCGCGATATAAAAGTTATAATGAAATGGCTCATAATCGCCTGCAAACTATAATTATAATTACGTTACTAAATGATTTCACATAAATTACCTTCAGTGTAATAAAAAACAAATCCGCTTCTTTGCTCACCACCGTCTGTGTGAAATACGATGAAAACATTGGGGCCGGATGATTGCAGATTTCCCGGCAACTGATCTCCGTCATATCTCCCCAGTCTTCTAGCATCCGCCGAATCACCGTCATAAATGTACAAAAAATCATAACCACTTTCCAACTATAAAGTGATGCAATATCAAGTAAGCCACAAAATAAAGAACAAAAACACAAAGTACAATACGATGTAAGAGATCCTAATTAGCATATAGCGTACTTCTGTGTATAGTGCTCTATAGAGAAAAATTGTTTGGACGACATTGGCATCTTTGCATGTTTGTGTCGTCGTGGTGAACCAACCATTAAAGAAAGCGCTCATGGCGAAAACTAGGAAATTTCTCTCGGAAAAAATGCGTGCAATTGCTGGGAGAAAATAACTCCTGCTTGTCTTCCATGGGGTTAATGAAAGCAAAAAAATTCAATAAAAGAAAGCTTACAAAATGTTTAGCAGCATACGTGTAAAGATATGGGATATATTAGAAAAACGGGCGCTTTCTGCACACATCTAACCACAAAAGGAGACTATTTTTGTCCAATCCTAATCTTTTTCGTCTTTCTAGCTATATGCATTGTAAGTAAGATTCAATAACGGTACAGCGCCATCTTAAAGATACGTTTTTTGAGCATCTTGGAGTTCGCTATCTTCACTATAACAGTACTATTACAGAAAATTCTACCCTGGTAATCATTGTGTCTCAGATATGCATGAATAGTCCAGTCCCTCCCCCGATTATCTCGGTCATAATGAAAATTATTTCATTTAGATCACATCCTTTCCCCTCCACCTTTATTATTTTTTTCAACGCTTTTATTATGTTTTTTGTCTCATTAAAATAGTGCAGCTAATAATCCATGTATTACAGAAGCTGAATATTCCTACCGAGAAATGCGAGAACTGGAGGAGAATCAGTTTTCCGTTAGTGCTAGAAATTGTCCATTCGCAATCCATGTTGTTGGGGTATAAATTGGGATATCCAGGACTTTTAAGCGTACCAGGAGTATAAAGGTGAGAGTCGCCACATGAAACTGGAACTAAATTAAACATAAATACAATTTCTTCGAAGATGTAAAAATGAAAAATGAGATTAAACCTCACGTTCTCATCGTACTTTGATCAATTTTAGGCTTGCTATTATTTGATATTGCAACAAATATGAAATGGGATATAAAATGAGTTATAATGATAATGTGCCTTCATAATAGTCTGCAAACTGTAATTATAATTACGTTACTAAAGGATTTCACATATATTACCTTCAGTATAATTAAAAACAAATCCGCTTCTTTGCCCACTACCGTCGGTTTGAAATACGATGAAAACATTGGAGCCGGATGATTCCAGATTTCCCGGCAACTGATCTCCGTCATATCTCCCCAGTCTTCTTGCATCCGCCGAATCACCGTCATAAATGTACAAAAAATCATAACCACTTTCCAACTATAAAGTGATGCAATATCAAGTAAGCCACAAAATAAAGAACAAAAACACAAAGTACAATACGATGTAAGAGATCCTAATTAGCATATAGCGTACTTCTGTGTATAGTGCTCTATAGAGAAAAATTGTTTGGACGACATTGGCATCTTTGCATGTTTTGTCGTCGTGGTGAACCAACCATTAAAGAAAGCGCTCATGGCGAAAACTAGGAAATTTCTCTCGGAAAAAATGCGTGCAATTGCTGGAAGAAAATAACTCCTGCTTATCTTCCATGGGGTTAATGAAAGCAAAAAAATTCAATAAAAGAAAGCTTACAAAATGTTTAGCAGCATACGTGTAAAGATATGGGATATATTAGAAAAACGGGCGCTTTCTGCAGACATCTAACCATAAAAGGAGACTATCTTTTGTCCAATCCCTAAGCTTTTTCGTGCTTCTTTGCTATATGCATTGCTGGTAAGATTCAATAACTGTACAGCGCCATCTTAAAGATACGTTTTTTGCACATCTTGGAGCTCGTTATCTTCACTATAACAATACTATTCCTCTGCCTTCGCTTTCCTTTATTGTTTTTTCAACCCTTTTATAATGTTTTATGTCTCATTAAAACAGTCCAGCTAATAATGTATATATTACAGAAACTCAATATTCCTACCAAGAAATGCGAGAAGTGAAGGAGAATCAGTTTTCCGTTAGTGCTAGAAATTGTCCATTCACAATCCATGTTGTTGGGGTATAAATTGGGATATCCAGGACTTTTAAGCGTACCAGGAGTGTAAAGGTGAGAGTCGCCACATGAAACTGGAACTAAATTAAACATAAATACAATTTCTTCGAAGATGTAAAAATGAAAAATGAGATTAAACCTCACGTTCTCATCGTACTTTGATCAATTTTAGGCTTGCTATTATTTGATATTGCAACAAATATGAAATGGGATATAAAATGAGTTATAATGATAATGTGCCTTCATAATAGTCTGCAAACTGTAATTATAATTACGTTACTAAAGGATTTCACATATATTACCTTCAGTATAATTAAAAACAAATCCGCTTCTTTGCCCACTACCGTCGGTTTGAAATACGATGAAAACATTGGAGCCGGATGATTCCAGATTTCCCGGCAACTGATCTCCGTCATATCTCCCCAGTCTTCTTGCATCCGCCGAATCACCGTCATAAATGTACAAAAAATCATAACCACTTTCCAACTATAAAGTGATGCAATATCAAGTAAGCCACAAAATAAAGAACAAAAACACAAAGTACAATACGATGTAAGAGATCCTAATTAGCATATAGCGTACTTCTGTGTATAGTGCTCTATAGAGAAAAATTGTTTGGACGACATTGGCATCTTTGCATGTTTGTGTCGTCGTGGTGAACCAACCATTAAAGAAAGCGCTCATGGCGAAAACTAGGAAATTTCTCTCGGAAAAAATGCGTGCAATTGCTGGAAGAAAATAACTCCTGCTTATCTTCCATGGGGTTAATGAAAGCAAAAAAATTCAATAAAAGAAAGCTTACAAAATGTTTAGCAGCATACGTGTAAAGATATGGGATATATTAGAAAAACGGGCGCTTTCTGCAGACATCTAACCATAAAAGGAGACTATCTTTTGTCCAATCCCTAAGCTTTTTCGTGCTTCTTTGCTATATGCATTGCTGGTAAGATTCAATAACTGTACAGCGCCATCTTAAAGATACGTTTTTTGCACATCTTGGAGCTCGTTATCTTCACTATAACAATACTATTCCTCTGCCTTCGCTTTCCTTTATTGTTTTTTCAACCCTTTTATAATGTTTTATGTCTCATTAAAACAGTCCAGCTAATAATGTATATATTACAGAAACTCAATATTCCTACCAAGAAATGCGAGAAGTGAAGGAGAATCAGTTTTCCGTTAGTGCTAGAAATTGTCCATTCACAATCCATGTTGTTGGGGTATAAATTGGGATATCCAGGACTTTTAAGCGTACCAGGAGTGTAAAGGTGAGAGTCGCCGCATGAAACTGGAACTAAATTAAACGTAAATATACAATTTCTTCGAAGATGTAAAAATGAAACTTGAAGAAAAAATGAAATTAAACCCCACGTTCTCGGCGAATTTTGGTCAATCTTAAGCTTGCTATTACTTGATATTACAAAAAAAATATTAAAGGTGATATAAAATGAGTTATAATGATAATGTGCCTTCATAATCGCCTGCAAACTATAATTATAATTACGTTACTAAAGGATTTCACGTAAATTACCTTCGGTATAATTAAAAACAAATCCGCTTCTTCGCCCACTACCGTCGGTGTGAAATACGATGAAAACATTGGAACCGGATGATTGCAGATTTCCAGGCAACTGATCTCCATCATATCTCCCCAGTCTTTTTGCATCCGCCGAATCACCGTCATAAATGTACAAAAAATCAAATCGACTTTCCAACTATAAAAAGTAAAACAATTTCGAGCGTGCCATACAATAAAGAAGAAAATTTAACACCAAATTCAATGCAATGAAACAGATCCGACACTTATTAGCATAATACAGCGCACATCAGGGTATAGTGCCTTATAATGAAAAAAATATTTTTACGACATCGGCATCTTTACATGTTCGTGTCGTCGTCAGCTCATTAAAGAAAGCAAAGCGGTCATGGGAGAAAATATTTCCTGTTTGTCTTCCTTGATGTTAATAAAAGCCAATAAAAAACACTAAAAGAAAGCTTATGAAATGTTTAGCAGCATACGTGCAAAGATATGGGAATAAAATAAAAAAACGGGCACTTTTTGCCGACATCAATTCCAAAAAGGGAAGCTGTTTTTTTCCAATCCTCAATATTTTACATGCTTCCTTTCTTTATACAGTACCCATAAAAAGTATTCGAACACCTCTTTTTGACCCTTAATTTACAAAAAACATCGACATACACAATTTAAAACGGAACCTATTTGAATGACCATTCTTATATATTATAGAGCGTCATATTATGCTCTCCCTTGCAGTTTTAGGAATTAATTGGTTACTCCAAGTACATTTGTGAACAAAGACGTGCCATCTACCATTACTTTTTCCAAACTCAATTATCACCGAATTAACATGATTTCTAGAACTGTGTCACTGTGATTCCATTCCAAAATGTTGCTTCTTATTTTCAAAATAATCCGGTCTTAATTAGCGCAAAAAACAGTTTTTACGTGCATAAATTCTTCAATGAGCATTTAAATCACTATAAATATTCAAAACCCGACAACTTGGGTCTTCTGGTGTTCTAAATTGCAGATATTGACTGATATTAATAGAACTTACTCGAAATACATCCTTAATAACATAGAACTGGAATAAAAATGAAAGTAAATAAAATTTTTCTGTTTTGAATGTTTTTAAAACTATACGCACAATAAATGACATTATTCGATCTTTATTTAAAAATTTGAACACCTTACTCTACTCATTACCGATATCTCACAAATAACCTCCCAAGTAAACTTATAAAAAAGTAGTAAATGGCACTTGTTTGATTAAAAATGTACTTTCGGTTTAAAATTGTAAATTAAAATAACTGGGGAACAGTGCGAAAAACTCGTTCTGTCACTTGCAAAATTTTCATTGCTTCTGATTTAAAGTAGATAATTATGAGCATATTTATGAGGTCTATAGAAACGGTGTTCGAATACTTTTATCAGCACTGTACATTGCAACTAAAACTTTTGGAAGCCACCATAAAGAAAATTTTTGCGCAAATCGTATAGTGCGGTATATATCCAGCATATATACACTATAATACTATCACAGAGAATTTAGCTCTTGTAATTATTGTGTGTCAGAAATGGACAATCCAATTCCCTCCTATTCTTCGGTCATAAATAAATGAAATGTTATCTTTCATTTAGATCACTTCAATCCCCCCCTTTTACTTTTACTCTCTTACCTTCTAAAAAGAACAAAGCGCAATACAAATGAGTTTTAAAACAACGCAAAAGGTAACCTACCGAGAAATTTGAAAACTGGAGGAGAATCTGTTTTCCGTGAGTGCTAGAAATTGTCCATTCACAATCCATGCTGTTCGGGTATAAGTTTGGATATCCAGGACTTTTAAGCGTACCAGGAGTATAAAGGTGAGAGTCGCCGCATGAAACTGCCACTAAATTAAATGTAAATACAATTTCTTTGATCATGTAAAAATGAAACTTGAAGAAAAACGAGATTACACCCCACGTTCTCGTCGAATTTTGGTCAATTTTAAGCCGGCTACTATTAGGGAGAAGCTGTGATTTCCTTTGTTTTATTTTCGGCAATTGATGTCCCTCGTGAGCAATAAGAGAGTAACTTTCGAAATATCTCCTTTTTATAAAAGTTACTTCTCAGAAACCTGGTTCGTTAGTTATAGGAATTACGTTTGAACATAAGCGCTGCATTCCTTTACCGCTCTTTGTATTCTAACAGCGACTTCGCACAAATTGGTCACGCGTGTTTATATTATGCGTCTTTCCTATCATAGATTTACCGAAACAATAAGTTAGATACTCACTAAACGGACTTTGACAAAACATCTTTTTAGCATTCAGTTGAAGTGTCGACGCAAACTAACTATGCTACTGACGAGTGAAAGAGAGAACAGCACTGAAAAAATACATCATGCGTCTTCTAAAATTGTTTAAAGTGCCGGTATCACTTGTGGGATCTTTACGGATTTGAATAGAGCTTAAAAATTAGTTTAATAAGTTCTACAACCCTTTTTGATATAGTTAAATAGTTTCGGAAATATTTACATCTAAACATGACGATTTGCTTAAATTTCCGTCGTGCTCGGGGGCCTGGGACTCAGGAACCGAATTCTTGTCAAACATAATAATTTTTTTATAATCAATTGTAATTTTACTTCGATCTTCCAATGACGTAAAATATTTTGAGAAAAACTCGCCAAGTTGCTACAGCCATACACAACGCACCGTTCCCGCATTTTTTTCTTGAAAAGCGCAAACTATATCGCCAGTGAAACTCTTCATGTTTACATTATAAAAGACGGCGTGTTTGCAAATCATTCCTGAGTCCCAGTCCTCCTAACCGACGTATTTTCGAAACTATTTAATTATATCAAAAAAGGTTGTAGAACTTATAAACAAATTTTTCAAGCCCTTTTCAAATCCGTAAAGATCCCACAAGTGACATAGGCACTTTAAATAATAAAATTCAATAATGTATTATGGTCTTAGGCTGTTGTATAATCATAAATGAAAGATATTCATAAAATGAGGCCTGTTTTATCTCTGTAAGCAAAAAGACACACCTCAGCCTTGATCAATTTCCCGCAGTTATACCCGAATTCTTTTTTATCTGTTTTGACATTACAAACAAATATGAAATGATATTATATAAAACGAGTTATACGGTGATTACCCATACATGGCCTATATTCCCAAACTATTACATTATGCCCTTTTTATTGACCCAACATTACGCTTCGATTATCTCTTAACTATTGGAGTAATCTCGTTAACATTTCTTTTAGTTGACAGGGAGAAAATGACACACACGACGGCAAAGCGATGTGTGCCTTCAGATAGTCTACAAACTATAAGAATTATTACGTTATTAAAGGATTCGCATAAATTACCTTCGGTATAATTAAAAACAAATCCGCTTCTTCGCCCACTACCGTCCGTGTGAAATGTGATGAAAATATTGGAGCCGGATGATTGCAGATTTCCTGGCAACTCATCTCCATCGTATCTCCCCAGCCGTCTTGCATCCGCCGAATCACCGTCATAAATGTTCAAAAAATCATATTCACTTTCCAACTATACAAAGTGAAGCAAAAAATAAGTTCAATTGTGGGAAGGAAATATATCCTGTTTATGTTCCCTTAGGTTAATAAAAGCCGAAAAACACTAAAAGAAAATGCAGACATGTAACTAAAGAGGATATTATTTTTTGCCCAATCTCCAATGTTTTACGTGCTTCCTACCTATAAACATCGAAAATAAGAGTCACCAAATTTAGGAACCACCTTAAAAGTACGTTTTGTGCACATCGTAGGTCAGGGGGTGAACTAGAACGATAATAGGTGGGATGAATATCAGTATTGCCCGACGGATTTCTATTCTAAGCCATTGCACTTACAAAAGAAATCCGTCGGGCAGAGATGTGTAGAGACCTTTAGCTTAACGTTTACGGCAAACGCCAAACCGCTAACAAAGTTTGTCTTTTAACTCCACTATCTTTTAATGTGCGGCAATTTCGCTAAATTACAAACGTTCTACATAAAACTTGTGATGTTCAGCAGTAATGTAAGAAAGCAACAGGCTATTTCTAATGTATTTAGAAAAGCAGCAAATTCTGCTTTTCCGTATATTGTTACACTATTAAATTTCACTGTCCCACGTTTTGGCTTTTATTGTTTATTATCATAAATGTTCGTCTAAAATACTCTATTCGTCAATACTTCAATCACATCTCTTTCTCGTAGCCTCAAAAGCAAAATCTCCTTATCGTCCGTACTTTTCCCAACACTATATCGTCTCTTCGTCACTACTTAAAATAGACTGTTCACGTGTTCAGCGCCTGCAATCATTATTGTTATAATTATCTCGTAACAATATGTTACACGTTCGCCGCATAAAATTTAATGCTTGAACGATTGCATATATACACCCTCAGCCGTCTCCACCATAACGCTTATACTAATCTAAGTGTCTCAGACATGAATAGTCCAGCCCCCCCCCATGCATTCTTCGGTCATAAATGAAATGCAATCTTTCATTCATATCACTTTCTTTCTCGCCCTTTTTAATTAAAGCTTACTATGTTTATGTCTCATTATATCAGTTGAGCTAAGAAAGTATTACAAAAACTGAATATTGTATTAGAAGAAATATATCGAAGAAATAATTAAACACAATACAAATCAATTTTAAACAACGCGTAACCTACCGAGAACTTCGAAAACTGCAGGAAAATCGATTTTCCGTGAGTGCTAGAAATTGTCCATTCACAATCCATGTCGTTGGGGTATAAATTGGGATATCCAGGACTTTTAAGCGTACCAGGAGTGTAAAGGTGAGAGTCGCCGCATGAAACTGCCACTAAATTAAACGTAAATACAATTTCTTTGAAGATGTAAAAATAAAACTTGAAGAAAAATGAGATTGAACTCCACGTTCTCGTTGTACTTTTGTCAATTTTAGGCCGGCTACTGTTGAGGAAAAGCCGCGATTTACTTGTTTGATTTTCGACAATTGATGTCCCTTGTGAGCAATAAGAGCATCAATTTCGAAATATCTCCTTTTTGTCAAAGTTCCTTCTCAGAAACCTGGTTTGTCTTTATATCTTATATCCGCAGGAATTACATTTGAACATAAGAGACACATCACATTTGAACATAGCATTCCTTTATCGCTCTTTAAATTTTCCCAGCGACTTCGCACAAATTGCTCATGTGTGTTTACGCCATTAGAGTATGGAACGAGTTATACGACTTGCCTATCATTGCATTAGAGAAACAATAAGTTAGATATTCGCTTAATTAACTTTGACAAAACCTTTTTTAAAGCAATGAGTCGGAGTGTCGGCACGAACAAGAATACCAGTGACGAGCATTAATTAACATTACTTTTAGTTGAAAGGGTAAAACGAACACATGACGGCAAGTCTTGATATTATGATATAGCTAAGAGTTACAAACTATAAGTATAATTATACGTTATTAAAGAATTCACATAAATTATACCTTCGGTATAATTAAAAACAAATCCGTTATTAAAGAATTCACATATAAATTACCTTCGGTATAATTGAAAACAAATCCGCTTCTTCGCCCACTACCGTCCGCGTGAAATGTGATGAAAATATTGGAGCCGGATGATTGCAGATTTCCTGGCAACTCATCTCCATCGTATCTCCCAAGTCTTCTTGCATCCGCCGAATCACCGTCATAAATGTTTAAAAAATCATATCCTCTTTCCAACTATAAAAAGTGAAGCGAAAATGCGTTCAATTGTGGGATGGAAATATTTCCTGTTTGTCTTCTAAAAGCCGAAAAACACTAAAAGAAAATGCAGACATGTAACTTAAGAGGATATTGTTTTTTGCCCAATCTCCAATGTTTTATGTACTTCCTACCTATAAAGATCGAAAATAAGAGTAACAAAATTTAAGAACCACCTTAAAGGTACGCCTTGTGCACATCGTAGGTCAGGGGGAAACTAGAACGATAATAGGTGGGATGAATATCAGTATTGCCCGACGGATTTCTAAAGGAGGTTTATGATGCGGAGCGTATAGTAGGACGTCACAGAGAGCATATAAAATGCAATGTTTTGCCCATGCCATGTAGTTCGTGCTCAATTCCAGCGGACAAGGAGAAATAAATAAAAACAAGATAATTGTTGGCACGAAATTCGCGTCTGTCTCCAATGCGTTCATCTTAGCCGAGCTAGCTAGATTGGCCTTGTTCGCTAGTCAATAATTCCCAATACCTAAATCACATCAGAGCATGAACTATGAGTGGTATGGAATAGTATACTGTTTTAAATACATCAGAAATAGCCTATTGTTTTTTTACATTACTGCGAAATTGCCGCACACTTGAAGATAGTGAAGTTAAAACACAAACTTTGTTTGTGGTTTGGCGTTTGCTGTTGTCAAGCTAAAGGTCTCTAATATTTGAATACTCAGCCCTCAATTATCGTTTTAGTTACGCCACTGATCGTAGTGCTCTTTATCTCCAAAATAACACTAATACTAATCTAAGTATCTCAGAAATGAATAGTCCAGCTCCACCCCAGCTCTTCGGTCATAAATGAAATGCAATCTTTCATTAAGTTGACTTTCTTTCCCCCCCCCCTTTTTAATTCAAGCTTACTATGTTTATATCTCATTATCTCAGTTCAGCTAAGAATTTATTACAAAAACTGAATATTGTATTAGAAGAAATATATCGAAGAAATAATTAAACACAATGTAAATCAGTTTCAAAACAACAAGTAACCTACCGAGAAATTCGAAAACTGGAGGAGAATCGGTTTTCCGTGAGTGCTAGAAATTGTCCATTCACAATCCATGTCGTTGGGGTATAAATTGGGATATCCAGGACTTTTTAGTGTTCCAGGAGTGTAAAGGTGGGACTCGCCGCATGAAACTACAACAAAATAAACGTAAATAAATACAATTTCCTGAATATGTAAAAATGAAGCTTGAAAAAACTCCACCTTCTTGTCGTACTTTGGTAAATTATTTTAAGCTGGTTATTATTGAGGGGAGGCTGCGCTTTCCTGCGTTTGATTTTCGACAATTCATTTGCCTCGTTAGATTGATCTCTCTTTTGAGAAACTAGATCTTTTATCCGAAGGAATTACAGTTATTATCCGCTGGATTACTGTTTGCTTTTTGACTGCGAATTAACATAAATTTGTCATGCGTGTTAATTTACGCTTTTCTAACCCGAAACGGGTTATACGACATGCCTATAATGGCATTTCCGAAACAATAAGTTGGATTTGGCTAAACGCGGACTTAAACATAAAGTTATTTCGAGCAATGTGTTGAAATGTTGGGCCTCGACGCAAACTGTGTATACCACGAATAAAAATTGAAAACTATACCACGAATGAAAATTGAAAACTATACCACGAATGAAAAAAAGAACAGAACTGAAAGGAACCATCATTTTTAATGGATAATTGATGTATTATCGTTTTAGGTAATTGTATAATCATGAAGGATTTTCATAACGACGCCAAAAAGCCGGCGCCATTTTTTAACTAGTGAAGAAGTTCGTCAATTGTATGACACCTTTTCACCAGTGAAAAAAGTCGTACGTCCGATCAAATTATATAAAGATTCACTGAGTAAAGAACAGTTTGTATTTCATCATTATACTGTGTTTAAATCTTTATACACGTATAAAATATTATTCAACCTTTTGCGTGAACATCCGTATCACTACCATTAATAAACTGGTAAATAATTATGCTAATCACAACTACTGGCGGCTTAGTAATATGTCTCCATATAGAGTCGACAAAGTATGCATTTATTCATAGCTCAGTTGGAAGTGCATCGGAGCAATCCAAAGGTCGCGGGTTCGATTCCCACCGTGGTCAAGCTAATTTTTCAGCTTGCCCGGTTGGTGACTCAGAGTAGCAACATCACATTTACATTTAATATGCATTCCTACTCATATGAATTTATATCTTACCAGTCGTGTCAGTATAATAAAAAACAAATCCACTTCTTCGCTCGCTGCCGTCCGTGTGAAATACGATAAAGAATTTAGAGCCAGATGATGTCAGATTTCTTGGTGATTGTAGTCCACAATATCGCCCCAGTCTTTTTGCGCCCCTGGAATCACCGTCATAAACTTCCAAATAATCATATCCGCACCCTGCTTCACTTTCCAACTATAGGTGAAGTAGTTTAGAGTAAATTACATGATGAGCACAGAAAGTATGATAACCTAATATGAAACGCCTCAGAAAATATTTGCAATGAAAAATGTCAATCTTTAGGTTATTGAAATGTACTTAACTCCTAAACGTGACAATAATGTCGTACCGTACCGTGGATGTAGTGGCGTGTGAGTTCTACGAGTGTTTTAGTTCCAAGTAAAATACCCCTGTCCATATAATAAATATATATAATATATACAGAGGTAAAAAACTGGGACTGGTAATATAACTTACCGAGAAATTCAAAAACTGAATGAGAATAGGCCTTCCTTGAGTGCTAGAAATTGTCCATTCACAGTCCATGCTGTTCGGATATAAATTGGGATATCCAGGACTTTTAAGCGTACCAGGAGTGTAAATGTGAGAGTCGCCGCATGAAACTGCAAAAATATCAAACGTAAATACAATTTCTTTGAATAATATTATGTAAAAATGAAACTTATAAAAGAGATATTAAAATCCATGCTCGTCCCCATCGTACATTTGGTGCATTTTAAGCAGGCTATTGTCAAATTAAGTGCAGCTGAGACTTCTTTGTTTGATTTCCCATCGTTTTGATATCTATCGTAAACACACCAAAACGTGGCTTTCTTATTTTGTCTCTTTGTATCTCTCTTTTATCAAAGCTTCTTTTCGCAAACCTGGTCGTTATCTAGATCTTATGTCCGAAGAATGGACCAAAATGTCGACATGAAATAGAGCAACGTCCTAAATTTAGGCCCAAAAGGCCATCAAACCTTACACTTTTGAAATTTGAGACTCTCAAATCTCTTCGTGGTCGCACTGACATTGTCATCCAACCTGCTGATAAGGGGGATGCCTTGGTTGTCTGGAGGGCTGATTTATACCGTGATGAAACCCACAGAAAACTTGGCGACACCTCTTTTTATCGCAGCATTAATGAGGATTTGACATCCCATCACCAAGCTATTGTTTGATCCAGTGTTCATCAACTGTATTCCAGTGGTGAACTTCCACAATCTTCACTCAACCTTCTCACCAACACCCCTTCAACTCCTGTCATCTACTCTCTCCGCAAAATCAACTCAACAAACTCAACAACCCAGGAAGACGCATTGTGTCTGCTTGTGGTTGCCCCACCGAACACATTTCCAGCCTTCTAAACCATGTCATGGCACCCTTGGTAAGGGATTTACCATTCTATACTAAGGATACCAAACATGCTCTTCAAATCATTAACAACATTAATTTTCAATCATCCCACAAATTCGTTTTCACAATAGATGTCAAATCCTTATGTCATCCCCCACCAAGATGGTTTGGAGGCCCTCAAATTCTTTTCAGACAAACGCCCCACTCAGGAATCGTCAGAACTGGTGCTCACAACAATTTTTCCTTCGATGGTGAGCATCACCAACAGATAAGCGGTGTAGCAATGGGAACTAAAATGGTCTCAAATATGCCAACTTGTTTGTTGGTTTTGTGGAAAAACAAATCTACGAACAGTACACCGGCACTCTACCTGATTACCTGGGAAGGTACATTGATGACCGGCTTGGTACAGCAGCGTGTTCCCGTGTTGAGTTGGAGAGATTAATCAAATTTGATGACGAATTTCATCCAGCATTGCAATTCATATGGGAAACCAGTGAGACCAGTGTATCATTCTTGGATATTCTGGTTTTCATCAATGGTAATAGGCTCACTACCTGAGTGTTCTACAAGCCCACTGACTCCCATAATATCTTTTATATTCTTCCCTCCACCACAGCCACACTAAGAGGTCTATCCCCCACTCACAATTCCTTCGTCCCCGCCGCTTTTACAGTGAAGATGATGACTTCAATTCCAAATGTCTGAGGATGAAAAAATTCTTTGTCGGGCGCGGCTATCCCTCCCCACTTATTGACTCTGCCTTAAGGCCTCTGACATTTCCCGCTTAGACAGCCTTAGAGACTCTGTCTCTAAAACCCTTGCATTAATTCTACTCCCTTAGCTCTAACACATTATCCCTTCAATCTTGCTGCTAGGGATGTCTTACTTCGGACTCTTCATATCCTGCAGAATGATCCCGAGACAATTAACTTCTATTTCACCGATAACCCCCTAATCTCTTTTCTGCACAACAAAAATATCCGGGACACATTGGTTCACAGCTCTCTACAGCAAAACTGTTCAGAGTCCAATGGCACGTCCCAATGTGGCATTGGCCAATGTAAAAAATGTTCATTTACCGATTCTGGCACTGTTATTCCGGCTCCCAATTCACAGTTTTTCATCAGGTACCATTTCACATGCCTCTTCTCCAACCTCATTTATTGCATCTCGCGCAAGAAATGTGGTTTACTATATATCGGCGAAACTGGAAGATCTCTAAGGGTAAGGTTTGGTGAACACCGTAGGTTGGTTAACAACCACGATAACACCAAGCCTGTTGCCAGACACTTTACCTCTGGTAATCATTGTGTCACGGACTTGAAAATTTCAGCCCTCTGTCCGATTTCCGGTACTAGCTATAGCCGTAAACGACGAGAAATGCGACTCATCCACAGTCTTGGCACTTTTCATCCCTCTGGCATAAATGAAAGACTCTCTTTCATTTAAGCTACTTCACCCAGAGTAATATGACTCCCATTTCTTTGTTTACATCGAAGCTGGTTGTAATGCGTTTTCGTTGCTGATCAGGCTTCCCTCATTGCAGGCTATTCTTACCCACAATCAGGCGTCTCTTTGGCAATGCAATGTATTCGAATTTGTTTTGATTTTTTGTTTCCTATTGGCCCATTTTTATTACGTGTTTTGCCCTTATACAAAGCAAGTATTCTCCCCTAATTATTTTAATGCTAACTCTCCTGAAGAAGGCCCTCAGATCGAAACGTCGAGAAGTGTTTTGTCTATTTTAGGCGGTTGTTTTACCACATTTCATGCTAAGTTGTTTGACGACACTGCCACGCTGCTCCCCGGTTATATTGGATATTATGCAAGTGGTCCACCATTTATATTTGAACATAAAGCGCTAAATTTTTTGTCACCACTTGGTCGCAGCATGAAGTCTGAGACTGGTTATACGACTTGCCTTTATTGCATTTCCAATACGTACAATAAGTTGGACATTTGTTTAACAGACTTTAGCCCACAATTTTTTTAGAAATATGTTGGGCACTTAAGAAGTCGTCGACGTTAATAAACTATAATTATACCATCAATGAAATGAAGCAAAATACTGACGTGATTAAATCATGAATGCGTGTTATCAATATCTTTACGTGAATAATGATGTAAAATTATCGGTCTCGACTGTGTGATCATTAGAGATTTTCATTATCCCCGAGCGGGCGCGGAGCGCCTGCGAGGGTACTATTTTCGCTCGGAGATTAGGAATTACACCCGGAACCCGGTAGAACATAGGCGAATCCAAAGTTGTCCAAATTCTTTGTCATGGACGGTTGACATTGGGTGGTTTTGTAAGTTATGCGCATGCGCGAGTAATCAACGAACGTTCTGATTAGCTAAGACAGAAAGTTTGTATTTCAATGAGAACGTCAGCAATTTAACTGTCATTTCGTAAACATTTTTGTAAAAGCGTTTCATAAACTTTGTGCAAAGAAAGTAAAAGGAGAAGAAACAAGATATATGAAGCATGACAGCAGTGATGACAGATAGCAAAGATGAACCTGGATAGTGGATACAGTCAAGACAAAGCCGTGTAAGAGGAATAATTCATAATCTGCAAGCTTATAAATGTTTCCAAAGACAAAGGGTACGAGTGTGTTTACTTTGTTTATTTCGTATTTGTTTCGCGGTAAGAATGAGCCGTATTTGTGTACTTTTCAGCTTTGTATGCCGTTTATTTGTTAAATTTTCAGCTTTTTATGCAAACACATAAACCTGTCAAAGGCTATTACACCTTTGCTTTAACTTCAAAAAGTGTTTTTGAAAGTGTAATTTGAATTTTGGTATCAAATATACATACTATATTATAAAGTATAAAACTTTTAGCCGCCGGCGTCGACTGCACTTACAGAATAAAATAACATTTTAAGTTTTTTCTTTGTCTGTGAAGATTTTGTACTGTTTTAATCGTTTGAAACTTCGATATTTTAAGCCGTCACTTAATTGCTGGCATGGTATAATGCAGGGCAACGGGCAATGTTTACACTAGCTTTATGATTATTTTTGTATTGAATGATGGCAACATTTGCTATAATATACTCGGTAAAATATAATAAGACTGATTTGAGTTTTTTGTCATTTCGTAATATAAGTTTAGGTCAGGTTAACTCAGGAAATTGTGTACTTGGTTTGAAATAGCGAGGGGTTGCTGCATGCATGTATTTCTAGTACTTTAATAGATATTCAGTGTGCTGAATATCTATCATGTCTATTTACCATTTATTGGTCCAGCTTTGTATAAAATCGTTAGGATTTTAAAATAAGTTGAAATACAAGTTTACCATTCAAGCAATAAGAAATCGTTTCGCGCCCTTTACACGCACAAGGATAGCCTCGATTAACATCAGAAACCTCGTGTGTATACCGCATTCTATGTGAATGTGGTTTGGTTTCCATTGGAAAGACCGGTAAAAATTCTCTCAATACGTTTAAAAGAACACAAGACGAACTGCGAAAAAGGTAAACTGGATAGGTCTGTTGTAGCTCACCATGCGTGGACTTATGATCATCGCATTAAATGGAAAGATGCAACCATTTTAGCGAATAAAAGATATACCGTCACTCGTAAAACGAGAGCGTCTATTGAAATCTACAAACATCCAACTATCGCCAAAACCACTCAATAGTACGAGACGTGTTCTTTTCAGTGTTCGCTAGCTAGATACTTGTGTGGAGCGCACGCGCATTAATTAAAACTATTTCTTTTTCACGATTGTTTGGTAAGTGAAACAGTTCAATTAATGGCGCGCGTTAACAAATGACCACGAACGTGATATTTAAGTGACGCGTTGATGTGTGGACAGGTGATTGCATTGATGAAGGCCCAGGATAACGGGCCGAAAGCTTAATTAATTTGCAGTATTAATTACTTACCTGATGTACCTACAAGCTAATTTACTTAATACTTTTATAGCTGACATGATGTGCCTTTGCTTCATAATTATAATCTACAAATTATAATAATTATGTGATAAAAAAAAATTACCTTCAGCATAGTAAAAAACAAATCCACTTCTTCGCCTACTGCTGTCCGTGTGAAATACGATGAAAAAATTGGAGCCCGATGATTGAAGATTTCCAGGCAAATGATCTCCACAATATCGCCCCAATCTTCTTGCATTCGCGGAATTACCGTCATAAATGTCCAAATAATCATATTTACACCCAGCGTAACCTTCCAACTAAAAAGTAAAGTAATTTCGAGTAAATAAATTTAAAAACCAAAACACATAGCACGATGCTCTATAAACTCCTCTTACGCCTCGTATTATGTTATTACCGTGCATTGTGCTTGGTTGTCCTTTCGAATGCTCAAATTGTAAAATTGATCCCAACACATCTTCCATTTTTCTCTGTTTTTAACGCAACAAAATTGAATTTTGTGCCGAGATATTAATACGTGGTATTTTAGAGAAAAACTCTTTCTTTGTATAACCTTAACCAACGTGAAACATTCAACGTTGCTGATTTTGACCGCATGCAATTTTAAAGATATTTTGCTTATTCAGTGTTTGCTGAAGAATATAATGCATTGTTATTTTGACAAGTACGAGCTTGGTATGTCGTTTTGCAGGGAGCTAACCGACCGTTTCAGGCTTTACATCATCGCTTAAACTTTAAAAAGAGTTCTCAAAAGTCTACTTCAGAGTTTTGGATAAAACAAATATCACTTTGAAAGAGTTCTCAAAAGTCTACTTCAGAGTTTTGGATAAAACAAATATCACTTTGCAGCTTATATAGTCGCTAAAATCATTGAATAAAATAAATAATCGAAAAACAACATTCGACGTTTAGTGCTTGAATGGTTATTATAATTATTTGCGCTGTTTTGATGTTTTGAAGGTTTAGCTATAGAAAAGTTTAACACTCACTTAAACTGCAACGTAGTGCAGCAGGCAAACAGATGATTTCTGTACACCTTTACGACTATCTTTGCTTCCGAAAAATTTGCACGAGTTATCCCCGAGCCGGTGCGGAGCACCGTGCGAGGGTACTAATTCCGCCCGGAGATTAGGAACTACACCCGGGACCCGGGAGAACATAGCGGAATCCAAAGTTGCCCAAATGTCATGGACGTTCAATTGTCATGGTAGCTGTGCGCATGCGCGAAATTTTTGAACGAAGAAAGAACGGTCGTCTACAACTTGCTGATTGGCTAAGACAAAAAGAGAGCATGCATGATAGCGTCAGCATTTTAACCGTCATTTTGCAAACTATTTTTTAAAAATATAAAATGAAATCATCGAGTCAAATATTAAAACAATAATAAAAGATTTAAAGATCATCACAGCACAGAAACAGTTGGTGAAATAGGAACGACTCGTAGTTTATAATCTTCGAAGTGGTAGGTGTCTATATTTTGCTTATTCAGTGTTTGCTGTAAGAATGCATTGTTATTTTCACAAGTACGAGCTTGGTATGTCGTTTTACAAGGAGGTAACCGACCGTTTAAGGCTTTACATCATCGCTTAAACTTTAAAAAGAGTTCTCAAAAGTGTACTTCAGAGTTTTGATAAAACAAATATCAAATTGCAGCTTATATAGTCGCTAAAATCATTGAATGAAATAAATAATCGAAAAACAACATTCGACGTTTAGTGCTTGTATGGTTATAATTATTTGTGCTGTTTTGATGTTTTGAAGGTTTAGCTATAGAAAAGTTTAACACTCACTTAAACTGCAACGTAATGCAGCAGTTGCATATATTTTTTTGTCAATATAGAAATATATCGCCGAAAGAGCAAAACACGAAAAACAAACACATCATTAACTTAGCATCACTCTTAAAACAACGCTTAAGGTAACCTACCGAGAAATGCGAAAACTGGAGGAGAATTGGTTTTCCGTCAGTGCTAGAAATCGTCCATTTGCAATCCAAGTTGTTGGGGTATAAATTCGGGTATTGAGGACTTCTGAGTGCACCAGGTGTGTTAAGGTGAGAGTGGCCGCATGAATCTGAAAAAGTATTTGCCAATTTATGAAGCTGGTGAAGCTAGTGATACGAATTCGTTGTGGCATCTGGGCTTCCTTGGAGTTAGACATAACGCTCAACTTGTAATAAAGCATGCGCAGAAGTTTATCGCCCAGTCTAGCTGATAGGTTAACCGGGGTCAGACCGAGATTCTACCAAGGTTAACCGCGATTTTAGGTTATTTCTGGACAGTGCTGCAATATCCAATAGTGCTAGTTATGCATGCCATTATCAAAGTAAATACTGTTAATTAATATCTTACCATTTGTGTCGGTATAATTAAAAACAAAGCCATTTCTTTTATCACTACCGTCCGTGTGAAATACGATAAAGAAATTTGAGCCAGAAGATCTCAGATTTTCCGGTAATTGTTCGCCGCAATATCGCCCTAGTCTCGTTGAATTCACGGAATCACCGTCATAAACCTCCAAATAATCAAACACACAACTGGAACTTCCTTCCAGCTAAAAGTGAAGCAATTTATATAATAAAAACATAAAGTATAATCTAACCTGAAACGCCTTTAAACCTCAGGCACCTTTAAACCTCATATGCCTTTTCTCTGGACTATTTGATACTGGAAAATTATATATAAATTTCATGATTTGTGAACACTATAGGTCGGTTAACAACCACAATAGCACCAAGCCTGTTTCCAGACATTTTACTTCAGGTAATCATTGTGTTACCAATAAATTATGACCTGATCACTTGTACTTATTGCGATATCCGCGCAAACGACAAGTAATGCGACTTATCTACTAACGTTTCATTTTCATCCTTCTGGCATAAATGCAAGATTATCTTTCATTTGAGTCACTTCACCTTCATGAATATGACTTACCATTGATATTTTTACATCAAGGCAGATTGGAATGTAGCCCTTTTGCTAAATCAGGCTCCCTGCTTCTCCTACTCGCTAAATAATTTTTGCCCGTGACCAGGCAACGTAATGTGGTTGCAACGTTCGAAAATACAACACAGGCCTTTCGGCTGAATTCGAAGTCCATTGTGTTTTAGTATAAATTTCGAGGTGATTGGTCAAGGTTCACTGTCTCAGCCGGGCCTGTGTTGTATTTTCGAACATTGCAACATTACCAGATTACAATCAAGTCACTGGTCAGTGACTATAGCTTACTTTTGTTGTATTTCAAAAAAGAATTTGAAGTTATTATAAATTTTTATGACACATTGCTGATTATTATTAATTTTGTAAACACCTCGACTAATTGTTAAATATTAATTAATATATTTGAAGATCAATAGTTGAACACGGTATACATGACCTACCGAGAAATATGAGAACTGCAGAAGAATGTGTTTATCGTTGTTACTTGAAACAATCCATTTGCAGTCAACGTTGTTGGGGTATAGATTGGGATAAAGAGGACTTTTTAGTGTACCAGGAGAATAAAGGTGACTTTGTCCGCATTGATCTGCAAGGAAGTATCAATCCCAATGAGAGCTGTTATTGTAGCAATGAACAAGGGAGAGCAACGTGTATTAGAGGGTACGGGGATTACCTTTGCTTTCACTGATATTGGGGGGCTTAGCGAAATTTTTGGAATGGAAGGATTTGTGGTCCAAATATTCTTCCGACAAAAAATCGAATTGTTTAATGAGGACAATATTAACTTTAACATTATAATATTGGAAGGTTTAGAACACAACAAAAATATCACCCAAAAGAAAAGTGCAAACAGGTCTACAATAGCCTATGCAAGGCACATCCCTACCAAAAAAATGGTAATAACATACAACAGCTGAAACAGAGTTCGGTACTTTGTTCAAGGGGTAGTTACGTACCAGGAGACTCTGAAGGGGTGGAGCCAACACTAGTGCACTAATATGCATGACACGAGAAAACTGCTAAAAGTAACCATTTTGTTTTGTAATGCAGATTAGTGCACTAGTGTTGGCTTCACCTCTGAGACTCTGTTTCTACACAAAATCTTACTCAATAAATAGTACGATCGCTAACAGACATCATCATGCATACTGATAAAATTTATATGCTCTTAAAAGTAAATTAGTAAACACATTTTACCAATTGTGTCGGAATAAGTAAAAGAGAATCCATTATATTCCACATTTTTATCGCTGCGAAATACGATAAACAGATTAGAACCAGAAGATGTTAGATTTCCTGGTAATTGGTATCCACAATATCGTCCCAGTCTCGTTGAATGCACGGAATCACCGTCATAAACCTCCAAATAATCATATGCACACCTTGGGTTATCTTCCAGCTGAAAGTTAAGCAATTTAGAGCAATAATGGAAACATAAAGTTCACAATCGCGGAGATACCGTCAAAAAAGTAATGAACAAGAATCTGAGGACTAAAGTGATTAACAAAGGGCTAAAATGATGTAATTATAAATAAAGGACCAGAGCACATAAAATACACCAAGCTAACATTTCAAAACATTTGGTTCGATTGCTTGTCAATATCATTCCTCCTCGAATTCAAAACTTTCATAATTTTACTACACAATCGAATCAACGGTGAATGAAACCTACCGAGAAATTAAAAAACTGGATGAAAATATGCTTTCCGCCATTTGCAGAAATTGTCCAATTGCAGTCCAAGTTGTTCGGGTATGGATTGGGATATCCAGGACTTTTGAGTCTACCAGGAGTATACAAATGGCTCTGCCCGCACAAGACTGCAACGTAATATTTGTAACAATAAATTCATTATGTCACAACGATGTGATGTAGAGTCGTATAGGTTCTCAATAAGATACGACTTTTCACGAACACACGTTTCGAAATTGAGTGAGTTATTAATTATCCTGAATTGTTTAACACCAATTTAATTCCATGTTTATGTTCCAATTATTTCTCTGATACAACAAAGAATATCTTCTCGTCTGACATTTAGCACTTATATGTATAGAGAGTATAGATATATGAATGTCTAGCACATGTTGAAGAAGTGTTTTAAAAAGATTTATATTTAAATTTAGTACTATAATATAACCTTGCTTAGGTAGTGTATAATGTATTGCTTGACAATCCGTAGTGGAGCCTAAAAAAAGTAAGATTATATTTATTTTTTTTCATCATAGACGTAAGGGATAAGGGATCGGGGACAGCGAATAATACTAGCTAAAATTTCCCAACTCTCGAGTGCAAATGGGCCTAATTGAAACGAATTAAACATATGGAGGGGGCAGGGGCTGCAGAGAGGTGCCTGGTAACTGAGCATAAGTAAGCACCCTTGACCAAGTCGACTGAAAGGAATAAAACTGAAGAATATTAATGTTATTTCGTCAATCAATGCATGCTGCTTGGTTTAATTATATAACCAACAGATATTGTTTCGTAACGACATTAATTTTGAAGTCAAGCGTGTAATTAACTATAATAGCATGCTTTAGAACTTACCTAGAATGAATACGAGGCAAAAAAGAAGTTTAGTTGGCTTGAAAAGAAACATCACTGAAAAATATCATGAGATAAAAATGTAACAAATTCTACTAAGAATATAGCGATGTTTTCAGCAATCATCAGAGGCAATTAGTACGGTCGAAAATATACGTGTGCAATGTTTAATACGACACTACACTACAGCTATACATGCAGCCAACACCGACTTTTTCAAAATTACTAAAATGTTGTGTCGAGGCAAACCACAGAAGCGTACACGGCTAAAAACTCATCAGGTTGTTGCATCAGCATCGAACAATGTTGTGCTGCCCACATAACATTGTGCTGCCCACACAAGTTGATAACAACTCTGAACAATGTGGGCAGCACAACATTGATCAATCCTGTTCATATCAATGTTGCATCAACCTGATCGTTTTTAGGCGTGTACGTTTTTCTCATACAGTTTTTTTGTGTGTGTTATGGCCGATTTTGATACCATATATTGAGCAGTTAATTCCGGCAACTTTTAATAGTTCGAGGTCGAGGTGAACCCAGGCATGACAGTTGACAGTCTTGCTATATTCTCTTTGAACAAAAGAATAATTACACACGGCTGGGAATCAATGTGTGATTTCGCTAGATTTTTACCGCCGCGATATATTTCTTTATGCCTGCATATGATAGGCATATTATTTTGCACAAGAAGTTGAACCAAGTCAAAACATCTGCACAAACTTTCCAACTTAAATTCGTAGGTGAATAAATACTTATTCACTTCAGGATTTTCGAGCCGATATTTCTTAGCGCAAAATATATTTCAAAATGACATTAAGGAAACTTGCATTAAGCCGGCATGGGCTCCATTTTATCGTATAATTGCCGTGAACAAGTCATTTTATGAGAGATAATCCGTATGCAAATTTGTCAGGATTTCGGTATTCAAATCAGCTTAGTAGATCAAACAATATCACACTAGTTATTAATGTTTTCTTGGTCTTGACCTTTTGCTTTCTGTGATTTCTTGATAGCGCTAATAACAATTTGCCCTCAAATATTTGAATATCTACCAACTCTGAGTAAAATAGGTTATCGTTGAGTTCCCGCTGCACATTGAGACATTCTATAATTATATATCACATCAGCCACCTTCGCAAGTTAATTCACGACCCTCACAACTAAATGGAAACCAGACATCAAAGTAGAGCGGTGAATAAACCACGTATGGTACTCACACTAGGCTCTCTGCTGTGTTTTTATCAATTTTATGCAGATGCATATAGGAATTAAAATCTATAGCGGAAGGTACAGTCTACAGGTAAATTTTAAAGTTAAGGTATAGGTCTTTGTAATCTGTTCCTTGTGGAGTGAAGACACGAAATAAAGCCTCAATGACCCATAATAAAAATCTAGATCGTCAATAGTTAACACTGTAACACTGAGGCGATTGCGGAATTAAACCAGGCCATGTACATACACATATCGCTGTATGTAAACATTTCCGGAAAATTTTTACACCGAATATATCCATTATATCCATTCACCAACACTTATAATAATATGATCAGGTGTGAATATCTTACCTTGGAAAATATTCACACAATATCCCGTTATATTTGAACGTATATTCTAGGTGAGAATATGGCGTGTGTTTTTATTGACATGGAAATACTTCACAGTAAAGGTCATACTCAGTGTCTTACTGTATTCAAAATCACATGAAAGAATACTTTCACTTTGCTAGCAATCGAATGAGGTTTAGTTTAGTTCTTTCTTCATGTGCCTCACCATGCTCAAAATAATATTTTGTTGGGGTTTTCAGTTCGCATTTAAGTTTGGTATTTCCGTTTGAGCTGGTTTAACTTGGCGTACTGCGTGATGTTAGAATGACTCAATGCTTACGCAGCGTGCTCGGTGTCGTGTCGCTTAGTATAGCCACATAAACTGATATGGAACCAGCAGGTTCTCAATGTTTTATGAGCCAAGCTTAACTTTTTGCCAAAATTCTTGCGAAAATGAGCAAGTAATAATGCAGACAGGGTAATTAAATCCACTGCGTGATCATAAGCAATGTATAAAGCCTAGAAAGCATTAAAGTTCTTCGGAATGTACCGAACTCATCTACGACCAGTACAGTAATTAATAGAAATTAGTAATATGCCACGAAAAACAAATATTGATAGTTACCTTCAATCTGTTTTCTTTAGACCTTGCTTTTTGTTTAAAAGTGTAAAACAAGAATTATCTCAAATATGTCTTAGGCCATTGTTGATCAGTTGAGTTTCTTATATTTTAATCTCAAAAGGACCCCGCTGCGTTAAACATACATAACACGTCTGGCAAATTTGCATGCCAAATCGCTAGCTCGTCATTCATAATGATCAGCTCAAATCTCCTGCAGAATAGCCAATGCGCGCAATAATCTTGCGTTAAGATCTCCATTATTTTGTGTTTCATTTTCGCTTTTGAACCAAATAACCAGCCGCTGTATATAGCAATTAGCAAGGAATATATACATATTTATGGCTGGTATTTATCACACAATTCCTAATCTCCTGATGGAATCAGTACCCTCACACTGGTTGTAAGTGTGTATAGTTCTGACCGGTGACGGTTTATTACTTGTTCAACCTTTGACGGTCTCATTTCAAAATCAAACAAGACATAATTTATTTTAGCAACAACATTCTAATCCAAAGCTGTAAGGCGTCCTTTTCAGACAATGGCGGTTTTCACACTATAGAGACACATAATGCGTCTTTAATATTTTTTGTCTAGTATAAAGCAGGGACAACTAATCAGACGAATAATTTGATGGAATCACGCGCGAATAGATGATATGAAAATGTCTGGTTTATTTTATCACTGTCTCATTTTCCAGAATTATTCGTCTATGTGCCGTCTTCACACGGGAGACGCATTATCCGTCTAGACGAACTATCGTTGGTTATGCGTCTCTGAGACGAAAAACTGAACATGTTATACGTCTGCTGTGTGTTGTCCGTCTTTATACTGAAGACGGATAACAAGGGAAGACGCATTATGCGTCTCTAGTGTGAAAACGGCCAATGCTTCATTGCTTTGCTTCAAGGTTTCAATGCAAAATTTATACAACTCTGCATTTCTCCGACTTCCTTTCTGTTAGTTTTTTGCCCTATTTTTCTTTTTGCTTAAGTCGAGTGGGTAAGATATCTGTATCAAGGTTCAGCCCAGGTGCATTGTGAGACATCAACTTTGTCAGACAATGACTATGGCGACCTTTAAAACTGGGAACAGGGAATCCGGGAATCGTGGAATCCAAAGTAAATATCGGGATTCCGGGAATCGGAGCGGGGTAATCTTGGAATCGGAGTTCGGTAATCGGGGAATCCTGGATTCTGGGAATCGGGGAATCCAGGAAACCACCTAAAGAACGAGAAACAAGCTCGAAATAATGCGCGTCATAAACTGATAAACATATGTATAAGCGTTTTAAATTATCAGTTCACACACAGTTAACACTTTCAGCCGAGTCAAAACAGGATACGTATAAATTATAATAAAGCAACATTGCTATCCTATAATTTCAAACACATATCAGGACATATGGTACTTGTCACTTGCCAAAGAGTGTAATTATATGATATTCTTTGCAGCTGTGATGTAAGGCAGCGTAAAATGGGCTTAGCCTTTGGGGTATTGGAATGGGTAAATAACATGACCTGGTAATTGTGTAGCCATCCTAAAATTTAAAAAGAACTTGTTATTAAAATATCATCTAAGGCTTCGTTAAATCTCGGGTAACCAGACTCATGTGATCTGCTTCAAAGTGTATTATTTTACATGCACTCTTGGCAAGTGACAAGTACCATTTCCGGCGCTATCGATTACATGCATAAGGGCACGATTTGAATAAATGATAGACATGCCGGTCTGCGAAATACGAAAATATCTTAATATTGAAAATGCATGAGTTTGCACTCATCGAAACTCTTAAGTACTTCCGAAGACGATATAATTATGTTTGCGGTTAAAGAAATTTACTTCCTTTACGACATAACTTGTACTCGTGTGCAGTAGACTACCCAGGGAATTCAGATGATATATCCATATCAAGTGGCCGTTGATGCAGTTCACGGGTTGGCAAATAGCATTGGATAAAAAACCTGAACTGATATAAGGATAAATATACATTCATCGAACTATCAGACAGTCGGTAGAACTAGGAGGAAAGCAAAGATCAAACCGAAAGCGAACCACAAAGGCTATGCCTTGAATCTTAGCTACTCAACGGGTAAGTTTGTTTAATATATAGCCATGTCAGTAGCTTTAGAAAAATGCATATATATACCATATATTTCTACATATACTAACATGCATATGCGACCATTAATCTATAGAGTATACAAGCAAAATAATTATATTGTGGTATGCAATATACAAAGTTTAAGTGAATGTGAAGTCCGCACTACGCATAACAATTTGAGGCCCAATTTTTTTAAATTATAAACACTAGTTGACATTAATTTAGGCATAGCGAACCAAAATGTTGCTAGATATTATGATATGCCATACCTGATCAAAGATTTCATACAACAGGGACCGGTTGTATGAAAGCCGGATAGCGCTATCCACCGGATAGTGATTTTTTCAATCGCTTTAAAATCGCCCGTTGTTTGCTATAACTTTGATTAAATCTTAGTATTCCTAAATCGAAGATCCTCTTTAATAATTGTTGGTCCCAAAGATAAAATTTTATAGCTTTTCGAGCATTTTTAGAACGGTTGAAAAAATCACTATCCGGTGGATAGCGCTATCCAGCCTTCGTACAACCGGCCCCAGTATGTTAAAATAATTAGTAAGCTATTAACTAATAAGCTTTCCTGATGATCAGTAAAGTGACAATATATATAACCAAATTGATATTTGGGCATAGAATTTGCATTTTCTAAACACTTTGATTCATTTCGCAATTAATTACTGTAGTTTACTTCAATTTAATTTTTGTTTCATCACTTTCATGTCTTTTAATTGATTCTTTCAAGATAACAAAAGTATACCACTTTTATTAAGTACCAAGGGCTGGGTGTATCATTGGTAAAACTTAATTTCTCACATTCAACCCCAACATTAATTGCAGTACCAGTAGCATTATGTAAATCGCACATGATTTTATCATCTACAAATATTGAGGAAAGATATTATTGATAAAATACTGGTGGATTCATAGAAAAATGTATGATTATACCCTCTCATGCTTTATTGACACAATTTGTGTCTCAATGCTCAACACACAGCACTCAAGTTAGCAGCTGTGATTCCTAATGTCAGTGCCTGTCATTTGTAAACAATTTACAGTCTACATATAGGTATTGCCGCATAAAATTGTGTCAGTTCCCCCTGCCATGTACAATGAATGGGCTAATCCTTTCTGTCGCTCTAGTATATGTTCAGTCTCATGGGCAAAGTCATGACCGTTGGGTTTTATAAAAGGGGCAGGCATATCAGCCATCTGTAGTTGTTATATGACAAATTAATACACACCCAATATGACTAGTTATTAAAAGTAACATAATTGTACTGAGTACTGGAACATCATAGTCTAGCTATAGAACTATGTCTTCATTCAGAGCTTTTGCATGCATTTTAGTCCCTTTCGTTTAAATGCTGTTTAAACGTAAAGTCACAATAAATTCATATTACTAACCACCAGGTTTAGCAGTTCATCTCTTTATTTAGGCATATCAATTAAGTGATTCTCCCCCCCCCGTGATCCTCAATTTAGCATGCCGGATATGCGAAATGCAACTAAATAACGCACATAAATATATATGGCGCACCCTGACGGTGAGTACATTCGAATGGATTGTCTATTGAGCTGTTATAATTGGATATTAGGAGTATAAACCGAATCCACACGCGTCATCACCTGCCTCCAATAATGCACCTTCGTTGAATGCAGGCCCACTACTTGCAGAATACGTTTTGGAATGTGTTGGTGAAAAATCGCCTGCATTCAGTTGCCCTTTTGGAGAAGAGGCGCCAGACATTTCTTCAAATCCGTATCCTTGAATCCGACAGAGATGCCCTTCATATATCGAGATCTTTCACGATTCTCAGTTTAAGTAATTTAGCTTCTAGGTACACCACGTAAGTATCTAATACTGCAAAGCCTTCGGTCCGTTAACCCGGGCCAACGTCAGTACAATTAGCTGAATTAACATTTACACGTCACTAAAATAGCAAGTAAGTCGTGATTTTAGTTAACTCACGCCATTAATTAAGCGGTTTCATTTACCAAATAATTATGAAAAAGAAATAGTTCTAATTAATGCGCGTGTCCTAGACAAGTATTTAGCTAGCAGACATCGAAAAGAGCATGCCACGTACTATTGAGCAAGAAAAGATTAAAACTATTCATTAGAACTTTATTAGAACTATTTCTTTTTCATAATTATTTGGTAAGTGAATGTGGCGAGCTAACAAATCACGACTAACGTGATATTAAGTGACGTGTATAAACAGTGTAAATGTGTATCCAGGTAATTGCACTGATAAAGGGCCGAGTTAACGGCCCGATAGCTTTGTAGCATTAAATACTTACCTAATTGTGTACCTACAAAGAGAAATCTATTTTAACAAATTTTATTGCAGTTTCACTTTGCGCTACAGTGATTGCAGCAACATTCAGATAAGTGACTGAATGCGACTGAACTGCGAAATGCGACTAAATAACGAACATAAATATATATGGCAACCTATATGAGTGAGTACATTCGAATGTAGTATATATATTGAGCTGTTATATAATTGGATATCTCGGCCTGAGTCAGTACTGAGATGCGAATTTTACGAGAGTCTTAATAATGTTAAAAATGTGTAGTTTTATTGGTCGAACTTAAAGTTTAAAAGCTTGGTAATTACGTTATACAGTGGTTTAATATTTGCGTGAAAACTAATACCGCATTAAGTACCATGTCTACAAAGTAAAAAGATTGCTTGTTAGCGCAAAGATGACTATATAAAAAGGCAGCTTGTTTAAAAGAATACGGATTGCCCAGTGTTATGATAAGGCTGGTCAGATGAGGGGTATAAATATCGGAACGTGCCTCAAATAATGCATCTTTGTCAAATGCAGGGCCACTACTTGCAGAATAAGTTTTGGAGTGTGTTGGTTAGAAATCGCCTGCATCCAGGTGCCCCTTTGGAGGATTGGCACCGCACATTTCTTCAAATTCGAATCCGCGAATCCGACGAGATGCCCTTCATATCGATGTCCTTCGACGATTCTCAGTTTGTTCTTCATTCACAAATCGAATCCGAACGTAGACAGGAGCTGGACACAAATCCTAATGACCGTTAAAATTCATTTGGAAATCAAGATCAGCAGCTCGGTCAACCTTGGAAAGGGGAGAGCGAACTTCTTAGCCTTCCTTGGAATAAGGCTGAGGATACTGAAAGCTTCCCTGATATCGATAAACGTAAAAACGTGACATTTTCATGTTTGTTAGACAGCACAGTAGCCGTCCATTGATTGAACGACTATAGCGAATACCGACAATTCATTGCAAACCGTGTTAACAAAATTATAAGCCATCCGAATGTATTACAAAGCAATCAGTGCATGTTTCCTACATCTGACAACCCTGCAGACTTGGGTAGTCGTGGCGTCAGCGTCCGTCAGCAGCGTTGTGGTGGAAACGTCCAGTCTGGTTGGCTGATCCAGATGAATGGCCACCTCAGATCGTGAAAAGTGCAAAAGCAACAATTGATGCAGAAGAAGGGAAATATGGCCTCGATGAATCCTCGAAGAGTTCGGCTTGAGTAAAGCCAGGAAGATTGGTGATTGGGCCTCGAGATTCAAGCACAATTCTTGAAATCCTTCCGATAAGATCCAGAGAGTATTAACAATACAAGAGATTCTAGATCAAGAGTTATTTTTGGTCCGCAGAGCCGAAGACCGGAAAGTTCGTGAAGGCGAAAGTTCTTGAAGAATTTTGCATTCCTCGGCAATCTTTGCCTTCGTAAGCTGGCAAAGCGACTCCTAAAGAAACGTTATGAATGTGAAAGATTTCCTGTTTTACCCATTCCAAGCCCGACGGCTGAATTTTTGCCCACGAAAAGACCGAAGATGATAATTATACCTTTCACAGTAATCGGCGTAGATTTTCCTCGAGCTATCAAATATCTTAAAGTCCGAAGAAGAGCGTATGTTGTATTAAACTTCTGCAGTTGACAAGTGCGGCACATAATTACTATTGTTCGATCAGTTTTGATTGCATGTCAATCCCGTTTTGCTTTTCTTTTCAAATAAACGTGCCGATACCAATCGTTCAGCTCAACTAATTGTAAACGCACTAGCAAGCAACATAATTATGCTATTTAGGAATTGCTTATCTTATAGATTAGGAGAATCCGCGAAAACCATTCGCTATTGCACAAAAGGCTGAGTCCCTCAACACCAGTTAAGTCCTATTTTTGGGACGTAAACAAAGGCTCTCTCTTCGAAATGAATGTATACTAATGAAGTAACTTATATTATTGCTTATTGGACCAGGAACTGGTCCCTAACCGCTGCTAATCTTGTTGTTGTTGTTGTTGTTGTTAGGGGGCGACGCTCTTTAAAAAAACCCTAAGGCTCTAGCATTACTTGTTTGATCGGAATGAAACTTGGCACAATTATTCTAAGCAATATTCCGCATCGATTGACGGAGTTCGAATTTTTACTTTTGACCTTTGAAGCAAGTTACAAGCAATTCTTGATATATTTGCAGCAAATAATATATACATATCATTAATATTCAGCCTATATATAAGTAAACGCAAACGATTAGAAATACATTGTCCTCTCCATTGTTATAAATACAATGCAGTTCAGAAATTAAACTCGGTTACGCAGTTCCTGGTCCACTATAGTACGATCGTACTTGTTTAAAAGAGTTAAGGCACTGTTTTGGGGACGTAAACAAAGGTTCGTCCCCAAAACAGCCCTATGGTGCATTTTCAATATCACTATTATTTACCAGTCGGATTATCACTATTACAAGTGTCGATCACAATAACACCTCAAAATTCGATTGTGTCAACAAAGGAAATACTTTTCCATGCGCGGTATATATATATTAATTAACCTCTTCTAATAAGTTTTTACATAATTTTGTTTAAGGTCTGAAGTAAAGATACAGACACTTGAAAAGGTAACAAAATGGATTCGAAATCTTCAAAATCTGTCATTGCAAACAATGATCCATTAGAAAGAGCAAACACCAGTCTCAATTTAGGTGATACCCATTTTAGATTAGCAGAGTATAAAAAGGCTATTACCTATTACATTAAATATAGGGAAATTTGCACTGAAATTGGCAATTTTCAAGGATTAGCAAGTGCCTGTGAGAAACTGGGTTCTGCCTGTTTACACCTAGGACAGCATGAAGAGGCTATCGAGTATTTTTCAACAAGCTTAGAAATTTTCATTCAATTTGACAATCACTTAGGAGTGTCAACTAACAATGGCAATTTAGGCACTGCCTATTATAATTTAGGAGAGCATGACAAAGCTATTGACTATTTCAAAAAAGGTTTGGAAATCAGTGCTGCTATTGGCGACAAGTCAGGAATGGCAAAAATTAATGGCAAATTGGGCAGTGTTTACCTTAGTTTAGCAGAATATGAGAAAGCTATTGAGTATTTCAAAAGTGGTTTGGAAATTAATATTGCCATTGGCGATAAGTCAGGAATGGCCGATAACAATGGCTATTTGGGCAATGTTTATCTTAGATTAGGAGAATACGTAAAATCCGTTGGCTATTTAAAAGAAGGTTTAGAATTGAGTACTGCTATTGGTGATAAGCCAGGTATAGCAAGTAAAAATGGCAATTTGGGTAATGCCTACCTTCGTTTGGGAGAATATGAGAAGGCTATAGCCTATTTTAACAAAGGTTTAGAAATTAGAACCGCTATTGGCGATAAATCAGGTATAGCAACTATAAATGGCAATGTGGGCAATGTTTATCTTATGTTAGGAGAATATGAGAAAGCCATTGACTATTTTAAAAACAGTTTAGAAATGCAAACTGCTATCGGCGATAAATCAGGAATAGAAACTAACTATTGCAATTTAGGCAATGCTTACCTTAGATTAGGAGAATATGACAAAGCCATTAGCTATTACAGAAAAGGTTTAGAAATGAGTACTGCTAATGGCAATAAGTCAGGAATGGCTGCTAACAATGGCAATTTGGGTAATGCCTACCTCTATTTAGGAAAATATGAGGAAGCCATTGAATGTTATATAAAAGGTTTAGAAATGAGTACTGCTATAGGTGATAAGTCAGGAATAGCGACTAAAAATGGCAATTTGGGCAATGCCTACCTCACTTTAGGCGAATATGAGAAGTCCATTGACTATTTAAAAATAGGTTTGGAGATGAGTACAGCTATTGGTGATAAGTCAGGAATTGCAATTAAAAATAGCAATTTGGGCATGGCCTACCATAGTTTAGGACAATACGAAAAAGCCATTGACTATTTCAAAAAAGGTTTAGAGATAAGTTCTGTTATTGGCAATAGGTCAGCAATGGCAAGTAACAATAGCAATTTTGGTCATGCCTACCATAGTTTAGGAGAATATGAAAAAGCCATGGAGTATTTCAAAAAAGGTTTAGAAATGAGTATCGCTATTGGCGATAAGTCAGGAACAGCAGCTAACAATGCCAATTTAGGCATGACCTACCTTAGTTTGGGACAATATACCAAGGCCATTGACTATTGCAAAAAGGGTTTAGAAATGAGTACTGCTATTGGCAATAAGTCAGGAATAGAAACTAGCAATTGCAATTTAGGCATTGCTTATCTTAGATTAGGAGAATACGCGAAAGCCATTCGCTATAGCACAAAAGGTTTAGAAATAAGTGCAGCTATTGGCGATAAGTCAGGAATAGCAAATAACAATGGAAATTTGGGTAATGCTTACCTTGGTTTAGGAGAATACGAGAAAGCTATTGACTATTTCAAAAAAAGTTTAGAAATAAGTACTGATATTGGCCAGAAGTCAGCAGTTGCCACCAACAATGGCAATTTAGGCAATGCTTACCTTAGCCTTGGAGATAATGAAAAAGCCATAGACTCTTTCAAAGCTAGTTTAGAAATAAGTACTGTCATTGGTGATAAGTTAGGAATAGCAAATAATAATTCCAGTTTAGGTGTTGCTTATCTTGAATTAGGAGATTATGAGAAATCTATTCACTATTGCATAAAAGGTTTAGAAATAAGTACTTCTATTGGTGATAAGGCAGGAATAGCAACAAACACTGGTAATTTGGCAAATGCCTACCTTAGTTTAGGAGACTATGTGAAAGCCATTGACTATTGCGAAAAAGCCTTGGAATTGAGTCGTGCTATTGGCAATAAGACAGGAATAGCAAGTGGGAATGGCAATTTGGGCAATACTTACCTTAGTTTCGGAGAGCATGAGAAAGCTATTGACTATTACAAAGAAGGTTTAGAAATGAGTACGGCTATAGGGTATAAGTCAGGCATAGCAAGTAACAATGTCAACTTGGGCATTGCCTACCTTAGTTTAGGAGAATACGTGATAGCTATTGATTACTTGGAAAAAAGTTTAGAAATGAGTACTGATATTGGCGATAAATCAGGAATCGCAAGTGCGAATGGCAGTTTGGGCAGTGCTTATAGATGCTTGGGAGAATATGAAAAAGCTATCGATTATCAAAAAAAGTGTTTAGAAATTAGTACAGCTATTGGCGATCAAACAAAAACAGCAATGGTTCATGGCAATTTGAGCAATGCTTATAGATGCTTAGGAAAATATGACAAATCCATTGACTGTTCCAAAAGAAGTTTAGAAGTAAGTACTGCCATTGGCAATAAGTCAGCAATAGCAAATAGCAATTGCCATTTGGGCAATGATTACCTTAGCTTTGAAGAATATGAGAAAGCTATTTACTATTACAGAAAGGCATTAGATATTAGTACTGCAATTAGCGATAAATCCGGAATAGCAACTCAGAATGGCAATTTGGGCAATGCCTACCTTCGTTTAAGAGAATATGAGAAAGCGATTGACTATTACAAAAAAGTTTTAGAAATAAGTATTACCATTAATGATCCGTCACTCTTAGCAAGTAGTAAAAGCAATTTGGGAGCTTTACATCGATGTTTAGGACAGCATGAAAGTGCAATATCATGTTTAATGGAATCTATCAGCATCTTTGACAAAATATTTTTAAACTCAGTACCGGACCAAAATAAGTTGTCATTCACTAAACAATACTTTACCGCCCATGTAATGATCATGAATTGTTTTATTTCTCTGGGGCGCATTGAATCTGCATTAATAGTCATTGACCTGGGAAGGGCTAAAGAACTTCATTGCTCCATTGAAAGAAAAAAGAAATCTTTGATTACAAAAATGTTCGATTATGCAAATGCGGGATGGAAGAGAATCCAGAATAGTGAAGAACAGGTAGAAATAGAAGAATTACAGAGCATCCTCCAGGTAAGCAGTAACGATACTTCCATTATAGTATTTGCTTTCGATTTGCAAGGTTTTCTCAATGTTTGGGTGTTGAATGAAGAAGTAATCTTTAGAGTATCAAAATCAGAAGCACGATTGGAAACATTTGTGCAACTCATAAGTGAATTGCTCAGAATGGTGAATGTGAATGTTAATCGGGATTCTTCGTTTTTCGAACTCGATTCAGTGGCCAGTATTGATGAAAAATCGATTCTTCCTTTGGACGTTTTTAAAGAAAAATCTCCGTCTAAAAATCTTTTTAAGAAACCTGCTGTTGGGCATGATGATTTAAACCAAGACGGTATTTTGAAAACATTGTTTAAACTGCTTCTTGACCCTGTAAGCGATGTGATTAAAGGCAATAAGCTTATAGTTGTTCATGACAAGCAATTGTTTTTTGCCCCATTTTCGTCATTGATTGATGAAAATGGTTGTCATTTATCCCACAGTTACAGCATTCAAGTTACGCCATCATTACACACTCTAAGGTTTAGCACCGAACGCTCTCAAGATCTGGGCCTTGGTTTTGCGTTGTTTGTTGGTAATCCAACCGTTGGGACGGTTTCCTTAAATGGAAAAGAATTTTCACCCCCTGCCCTACCAAATGCTGCTAGAGAAGTTGAATGTCTTTCAAAGCTCTTCAATGCTAGACCCTTAGTGGCCGGCGTGAAGCTAGAAAACAGGTTGTACTGGGTCTTTTATCTGGGGCTAGCATAATCCATATCGCTGCTCACGGTGAACAACTTCGAGGTGAAATAATGCTTTCCCCTAACGTTTCCTCGACTCGGCCAACTTCGACTCTTCCTTATCCAGACGACTACCTTCTCTCACAGAAAGATATTGTAAATACTTCTTTGCTAGCTAGCTTAGTAGTTTTATGCTGTTGCCATACCGGGCAAGGTGAGATTTCTTCCGAAGGTGTCATAGGTATTGCTCGGGCATTTATTGCAGCCGGGGCTCGCACTGTTCTCGCCACACTATGGCCCATTAGTGATGATGCCACGAAAGAGTTTATGGAAGTATTTTATGGTGAGTTGTGCCAGGAAACATCGGTTTGTGAAGCCTTAAGAAAGACAAAGAATCTCTTCCAAAAACACCAAATCCAGGCATATCGGTCTTACACAATCTGGGCCCCATTTACCATCTACGGGGAGGACGTGGTTTTTCAGAAACATGACATCGAAAATATCAGAGATAAATCACGTGACATGTTCTCTGGTTTTGTTGTATTACCCTAAAGTTTGTAAGTATAATAATCATATAGCTATGTTTAATCAGTATCGGATTTGATATATTCTGTTATTTAAATCAATATAAGTAGACATTTCCTCTCTTCAAAGTGTGATAGTGCGTTGGACGAAATACGATTGGTATGCAGTGTTGCAGTTATCGCCAAGGCGTTAGTATATATCAATTTCAATTCAAATTGTGATTTAAAAATTCCCTATCCCCATTATTTGCCTACTTATTCGCTGGTCCCAAGAAGGGGAGTATCATTTTCTTGCAAGTGGCTTGAACCAGGCTTTCATCCTTTCGTTTTTGAGGTATCGGGCCAGTCAGGATTAGAACATTAACCTGCTTACTTCTCTTTCTTACTTCTCTTACTGCTTACTTCTCTAATTCCCAATATGCAAGTAAATTATAGGTAGGGTATCATTTCAGTGTTAAAACAATACGCTATAGCAAGCAGATATTCTATTATTTTTTTCCACTGATCATGGTTTACATCAAATAGTTATACTCTTGAAAAAAAGGGGGGTGGCTGCCTGTATGAAATTTTCACTGATGTAAGCAGCACTTTATTTGACTTTGCAGAGTAAACTTTTTGTGCAAGCATAGACATAGTAAAAAAATTCACTTGGAGAAAAACAATTGCAAGCTAACACCGTCCTGTTCAACGTTTCCGAGATATATTTTGGTACATGTATAAGCATGTAGCAAATTATATCTGCAAAAGTTGGCCTTCAATATTATAAGTTTGCAAAATTCCAGATTTTTTCCTACGATAACACAAATATTTAATTTATGTGCGGCAGCTTCCAATGTTAAGAAATTTTAAGCAAACGTAATTTAGTAAAAAACCTAAAATTAATTATCAATTGATTTAAAACTGAACAAATCCTCCATAGTAGAACCAATATACCAATAGCTCTATTTGCGAAGGTCATTAATGACGTTTTCAATTAAGTATATGCTTAAAACGTTGTAAACTTCAAACTCTTTCAGATGTAACTTGATACTTATTTATAGATAAGAAATAACATAAACTTTAGCCAACATTCTAAAACCTAGTGGACCGACATCACGCGTATGGTATTGATGTGTTTTCGCAATGAAGAAAGAGGTAAAAATATGTGAGGATCATCGAAGCGTTGTGCAGTGATATGAATTTGAACTTGCATCATCGAAAACATCGTTAAAAACATAGAAAATAGTTCAATATTTGCCTTGGGTTGGAAAAAAAGATAACATCAATCAAACCATACTACCTTCTACGTCTTAGTACAAAACACGTGACATTTGTTATAACAATTGTTGAAAGTCATCAAGCGTCTTCACAGTTATTTCATAGGCGTAAAAAAAAAAAATTGCTTGACATACGAAAATTAGAAATCCGCAAGACTGCAAGAACAATTATTTTACATTGAAAAAATGAACACACCTTCAACACATCATATGGTATACGGTGATCAGTTGACTCACTGAACTAAAAAAGGGAAAGCAATGAAATCGAAATGTGTTACCAGTGTTAAAGTATTGGACAGGTGAAGTTTGGGTATTGTGAGAGTTCTTCAGTCGACTGGACGATGTATGCCCATTCGCGTGTATTTGTTGGAGAAATAATTATACTAGAGTTGCACGAAAGCTGCTTCATTTGTCGCTTCGTTTTTTATAATCAAACGAAGCACTGAGTTGTTATTGATCTTGTGCTTTAAATAAATCATCTTTACGGGTGCCTGGAAATTTTGTACAAATCGTAATAATAACTGGACCACGGAATGGGGATTTGAAAGGCTTTTATTTCATCTATATACTGCGTCGATCTTGTTCAAACATTTTCATTAAAGGACAGTTATAGCGACCATGTGCGTACGGATATGCCGTTCAGTAGCGTTGTACGAGGAGAGACATCCCATAAGCAAGGAAGTGCGGAACGAATTGTGCCAGTCCACAAAGTGGTTGAAGAATGTTGGTCGTAATGTTTACAGAAATTCAGTTAAACTTAAATTTTCATTTTTCAAAGAATTAATCGAAGATGAAGGGTTTTAGAATTGAGAAGATGTAGCTATGCACATATGTTTCCAATAATAAAGTGTTTTTTTTTCATTCATTTCATAAATTACATTTAGCCGATGAAAAATAGTTATCTGCATGTGCCTGTGTTACTGTCTCGTCAAAAGCCATTGTTTATGTTCAGCCTCTATATTCGTCTCGCATTCTAACACCTTTTTATCTTCTAATATTGTCATATACTGCGAGATGTTGCGAGGAATATGATTACAGCAAATAATAAATAGTATAAGTGGAAACAATTGTTATAACCTACAAGATTCCAATTGCAAAAGGCAAGACAATGTTAAAGCTTAAAAAGTTAAGGTTTAAATTCAATTATTAACGACATAGAATTACCGTAAATTATGAATATTGTACCCTAAATTACTAAGCTAGCAAATATAATTACTATATTCTATGTAGTACGTATGAACACATGCTTTGAAGTTCGTTTTTCATGGATATTTTATTACATTATTTACTTTTAATACGATAATTAAATACAACAATAAAAATGTAGTCAATATAAAATTTCAACCGACGGGGACCGAACGCGGGCTAGTCTTTGTGTTATGCATGACATGCAATTTTATAACCTTCCTAATGGGCTCATGTACGTCTAGAAAGTTCACTTTAACCTCTCTAAATCCCCCATGGGGACCTTTGTTTTCTAGTCCTGTCATCACGCCATCACGCGTCAACCCGAAGAGTTTTTTTTGCTGGCAGAGCGAGGTTCAAAGGTTAAGCAGTGATTAAAGTTTAACGTAACAAGAGGCCTCATTGGCAATGTTTTATTTACAACTTTAGAAGTGGTAATGTTATGTCATTGAAAAACCTCTCGTCGTTTCGCGTCGTCGGTAGTACGTTAAGCCGGTTTTCCACTAGCGATATTAGGGACCTTAAGATGCGCGACGGGTAGAAAGCGCGGATAGACTGGAACGAGAACGCCGTCGGGTGTTGCAAAAAATACAGTTAAGAAACGCGACGGCTACAGCTTGCATATTTTACATGAAGTGTTATAAAGAAAATGTTTATTACTGCCAATATGGCCTCCTTCAAATATACTCGAAATTCTCTGCTTTTGGCTTATGACGAAGATATCATTGACGACGAAGAATTTGCGCTCTTGTATGATCTACACACATCAAAAAATCCTTGTTTTCCATACGAAGAGTATGATCATTTTAACTTAGATGCCGTTGACAGCGTCGAATGCAAAGTAGAATTTCGTGTGGAAAAAAATGATATACCTCTCTTGGCCAATGTTCTTCGTATACCAGCGAGATTTCGATGTCAGCAAGGAACGGTATGCGATGGAGTCGAAGGATTATGCATATTGCTAAAACGACTCGCTTACCCATGCCGTTTTAGTGACATGATACCTCGCTTTGGTAAACCAGTTCCTGTCTTGAGTATGATGACAAATACTGTTGTGGATTACATTTATGAGGAACACCAACATCGTATAACTGGATGGAACCTGACAATCTTGAATCCTGACAAACTTGAGCAATATGCCGAGGCTATATCGATGAAGGGAGCAGCTTTAGATAATTGTTTTGGGTTTATTGATGGGACTGTTAGACCCATATGTCGCCCTAAGGAAAACCAGAGGATTGTTTACAATGGGCACAAGAAAGTGCACGCCCTTAAGTTTCAGTCAGTGACACTGCCATCTGGAATGATCGCTCAAATGTTTGGCCCAATAGGTAAAGAAGAGTGCAAATAATTAATCCATTGAGCCTCAATGCACTTTACTTATTTTTTTTTACTTGTTTAATGCCAGAAAGTTTTAATGAGTTAATATACAACCAATCTATTGTGAATGATTGGAAAGTGCAAATGTGATTATCAGCTGGTCAAAATAATTATTTTTTTAATACCTTTAGAGGGTAAAAGACATGATGCAAGGATGCTGAGAGAATCTGGGTTATTAGCTCTACTGCAGGAAAATGCTTATTCACAAGCTGGAAGTCCTATGTGCCTATACGGAGACCCGGCCTACCCTCTTCGTGTACACCTACAGGCACCTTACAGAAATGCTCAAATTACACCTCAAATGCAAAATTTTAACAAGTCAATGAGTTCTGTAAGAATATCCGTTGAATGGTTGTTTGGAGATATTGCAAATTACTTTAAATTTATGGATTTTAAGGAAAATCTTAAAATAGGATTGAGTTCAGTTGGAAAGTTTTTTTTTCGTTTTTTTTTTTATTATTTCCCCTATGTACAGTTTCATCTATACCTGTTAATAAGTTTTCTATAGTAACTTGGGCTAGAGACCTACTAGAAACCTTGACAGGCTTTTCAATTTAGGCCCCTAGTTAAAGTTTAATTATATTAATCATATATGTACAAACAAATCAGCAAAATCAGCAAAATAATTTTTAGAGTACTACTATTTACAGAAAGAAGAAAGATAAAGTAAAAATTAATTATAATACCAATAGATGTTAGAATACCACAATACATTTATGTAACGAGTTCCTAGATAATATACATAAAAAGTAGAATATTTTCAGAACCATTATGCTGTATTTAGCAAAAAGTGTTTTTTAATATGTCTCTTAAAAACACTATGAGAGTTTATGTTTTTAATTTTTAATTCTAGTGAATTCCACACATCAGCTCCATTATTTGAGAGAGTATGTTTTACATAATTTGTTCTTTTATACCGCTTATGAATCTTTGATGAGTTTCTCGTATTATGTTCATGAATTTGATTACTGGTCACAAAGAAATTATCAAATTCTTCAGGTAAATTTTTGAGATGATGATATCGAAACATAAACATAGCAGTTAAATAATGATTTAATTTAAAGACATCTAAGATGCTTAACTCTTTGAAAATCTGCTCAGAATGTTCCAGGTACGATTTAAATGTCATTAATCGTACAATTTTTTTTTGAATATTCATTATTTTTTGAATCCTGGTTTTGTAGGTGTTACCCCAAATCAAGTTGCCGTAAATAAGATATGGATAGACTAACGCATAGTAAATTAACTTAATTGAATTTCTGTTGACAAAATGTCGGATTTTTGCAATTATAGCGGAGGCTCTAACGATTTTTTTTTATACCTTTTCAATATGTTCATTCCACGTCAGACATTCATCAATGATAATACCTAGAAAGTTTGTACTTTTGACTTGCTCAATATGTATATTATTTATCGTAATTTTAACTTCATGCTTGGGTTTTTTATTTGAAGGTCTGAATATAATAAATTTTGTTTTAGTAATATTTAGGGATAATTTATTAACATTTAACCATTCAGTTACATTATTCATTTCTGTTTGCATGGTTTCACTAATTGTTTTAAGACAATTATTACTATAAAATATATTAGTATCGTCTGCAAATAATACAAATGAAACTAATTTACTGCAATTTTCAATATCATTTATATGTAATAGAAACAGAATAGGTCCAAGAATTGATCCCTGTGGGACTCCAGTCTGAATTAACATCTCTTTTGACCTAATTTGATCGTATTTGACGATTTGCTGCCTATTTGATAAGTAGTCTTGAAACCATAGT